GTAGAAAACTCTTTAGGCCTTTCACAGTCTGGAAGTTTAGCTGGGTAATGTGCTGCCCAAAAGGCACCCTTTCCTTAATTCCTGAGAAAAATAGGATGCCTCCCTTAACTGTATTGATTTCCGTAACAATTGCTGTCTCTCTTCCAGAACATTCCTTGGCTATAACATTAAGTTTCCTAATTGTACATTTCCTCTCCAAATTGTACATTTTTTATTTCTTTCTGCTCCATTTGCTCTTTTTCACTGCAGACTTGCATAAACATTATCAGTAACAACCATGCCACAGACTCAACATTATGTTGTTTTGAAATTTCCTCTTCCAGAGAACTCAGGCCATTTCCTTTTAATTTAGCCTTAGGCAAGTCTTCAGAACATGGGCAAAAAGCAGACAGATTCATTACCAAAATATCACAGGAACGGCCTCTAGTCCCGTTGCTAATATTGTTCCTCTCTAAAATACTTTGAGCTAGACCTCTACAGTCTGCATACCTCTTAGAATTACTGTCTTCTAGGCTTCTATGAGGATGGATCATTGAGCCTGCTTATAGACTTCCAGAATTTAACTGCCTTTCTGGTTCAAAATCTTCCATATTGTTCAACAACAACAACAATAACAACAAAAAGATGAACAGGAAACACAATAACCAAAAGCAACTTGAAGAGAAAAGGGCTTATTTTGCTTACTCTTCCATATTACAGTTCATCATCAATGGTAGTCAAAGAAGGAACTCAAGGCAGGAATCTAGAGGCAGAAGCTGATTCAAAGGCCATAAAATATTGCTGCTTACTGGCTCTCCTAGCCTAGTGGGAAAACATGACAGTAAGCAGCAGGCATGGCAACAAGAACAGGAAACTGAAAGATGACATCTTTAAGACCAAGCATAAAGTAGTGATAGTGAACTGGAGTTACAGTGAAGTTATATACTCTTATGCCTTCCCCCAGTGACATAATTTCTCTAACATGGCCACATATTCTAAATCTTTCCAAAGAGTATTCCCCAACTGGTGGACAAATATTCAAGTATCTGACTGTAAGGGGTCATTTCTAATTCAAACCACCACAGTCCAATTTACAAAACTCCCCAGTATCTTTAAAAATTACTGCTTTTTTTAAGTCCAGTACATTCTAACAAAATGAAAGCAAGCCTCATTATTTCAAAAGGAAGAAGCAGGGCATAAAAACGATCAAACCAAAGCAAACCCAAAATCCAGCAGTGTAAGTCCAAAGCCTGTAACTCAACATCTGGAACTGGCTCCTAATATAATTCCCTGGGCTTCAGTAGACTGGGGAAGCCCCACCCCTCCGACCCTGCTATCCAACAAAGCACACAGTTTCCTTCTTAGCTAAGAAAAATGAAATTGTACCTACAAAAACATTGCTCTTCAGCAGCAGCAGCAACTGTTTGAGCAGGGTCTTCAGCCTGCCAGCCCAGGTTTTATTTGTGTTTGTGAGAATATGAGTTCAACATTCTGCCTCAACCTTCAAGCGCACTGATTTTGCTTTGTGACTGATGGATTCATGTAGTGGTATTTTGTTTGTAATCTAACAAATAAAGCTAGCATGAAGGTCAGACTGCAGAGCTAAGCCACTAGTTATCCACACACCTAGTTAAGAACTAACCCACTAGTTAGCCACACACACAATAAGCCACGAGTTAGCCATAAAGGACAGGGAGTGGTGGCCACACCCTTAATCCCAGCACCTAGGAGACAGGCAGATTGATCTCTGTGAGTTCAAGGTCACCCTAGGCTACATGAGAGTGAATCAGTCTAAAAGAGAAAAAGAGCTCACACCTTTGATCCCAGCACTTGGAATGACACACTTTTAATCCCAACACTATAAAGAGGAATATAAGCTCAGTGCAGTCTAGGCAGTCTGAGGAGCAATGCAGTTTGGAGATGCAATCAGAGGACATGATTGCCCCTTTGGTCAGATCATTGGTAGAGGTGAGAACTCTCTAGTGGCTGCCCACTGTGCTTGAACCCCAATATCTGTCTCTGGGTTCTTATTATTTGGGGCTACAGATTTATCTTTAAACCATCTTTCCAGAAGATTCTAACACATATTCTATGTGGGATCCACTGGTAGATATAATGCATCACTCTTGATTACTCCAGTGATGATACAATATTAACTGATAAAGAAAAACATTCAAGTCGACCTTAACCTGTATGCAGCAGAGGGGCTGCTCAACAAGCTAATATCTACAGCTTAGGATAGATTTTGAGGCTATGGAGACACTGCTAAAACACATTATGGAGCACAGTGCTTTGGAAATTTGATCCAGGTTTTCCCTAGAAATAGTTGTCTTGCAAACTGTGATACAGTAAAAACTACTTCCCCAAGGACTAGCCGCTTCTCCATAGCAGCAACCTTTTCAGTTGACTACTGGTAAAAGAGGGGGATGGAGGCAGCAAAATTGAAGACAGCAGGGTTTGGCTTTTCTCCAAACCCTTAACTGTGTTCCCAGAGAATTCTAGTTACAGATATGGACACACACACAAACAAATGGGAAATACCACAACTGTGCTAATGTGTTTACAGTGTGCCTTTTGCCTCAAGGCTCTTGCTCTTTTAATTTAGCCACCAGAATCCTCAAAGGACTTTTCAACGGATACAGGCAGCCAATGTTTGCAAGGTCAGACCTTCTGACCTCAGCTATCTTATTTCAGTAAGAATAGAGCAGTACTCAGTTATCCATATTACCCAAAGAAGTCTTTCCTAAGTCTAATTCCCAACTCTTCTCCAGGCCTACTGTTTCAGAGCTATTTAGGAACTGATGGGGCTGGAGCCCATCACCCATATATTTATGAAGTCTTTTTAATAATTTGCCAATCAGCCAATGTGGAGTTAGGAGCAAGCCCCGAGTGAAGTCCTGAGTGAATGCATGTTGTTGAGCATGGCCATGTCAAGGATCTCAATGCCTTAGACCTATGGGGAAATGGAAAACCTTCCCTGCTATGTGAATGTTGATAGTATATGCAGAAAATGTCCTGTATAGCTTTCTCCCCTTGGATATTTAAGGCCTGAAGTCAACGCCCCAATAGAGACTGCTCCTACTGAGATTAGGTAACGTGGTCTCCTCAGTGAAGCTGTGTACCATACTCCACACCTCCCTAATTTAGCTGTGTATAGTAGTAACTTTGTCTCCCTGTTTAACTCTATATAATAGACATGCTGCTTCCAGGGTACTGCAGCTTCCCCATTAGAGAGCACAGTCTACCTGACCACAACTTTTCTGTTTGTCCTTATGTTTTGTTTTTCCTTCATTCCCTCACTATCTCAGTCATGTCTGTCTCACAGCTGTATAACTCATAGCAAACATTGCCAAAAGCCTTAGTCATATTACATCCCCCTTCCAGAAAACTTTATTAATGTGCCTTTATTCTTTTTTCAGCTTCCAGTTCATAACACCAGGCTTGAGGCCCTGTATCTGTGTTTATCGGAATGCACAGAGTCTGTCTGGCTTATAGCTAATGACACTGAAGCTTCAGGGATCCTGCTAGCACATAGTCTTTCCAAGACACTGTGTATAATTTTTAATGTGAATTTTTGTTCATCTTTCTAAATAAAACATCCCCAAATGGCACAAACATTAAATACTGCAAACCCTGGATGTGCCTCTTCTATATAACAAAGCCATGTAAAACAGTCCTAATTTGAAAACTTTTAACAGTAAAATTTTTAAAAACTGATTTGTTCTCCAATTCTTTTCTATATTCATTTTCCCCATAGCCCAGTGTAAGCTTAAGTAGTATACTTTTTAATGGGCATCCTGATAGTCAGGGACCATCTTTGTGCAGTGGTTGCCTGAGATAAGAGCTGGTAGCAAAAACAGATGGTCCAGGCAAAGCCACCCAGAGGGATATGCTGATGGCATGTGTGTAGTGGCTATTTTAGAAGTCCAAGAGGATAGCATGCTGCAGAGATTGAGTGGGGACACTGAAACCACACTATGTGACCTGAACTCAAATTGATTGATTTACCCAGTGAATTTAATAGATGAGTCTCAGTCACTTTGAATAGGAGAAGAAACACGGTGCATCTTCCCTATGCATGAGCTCATTCTCAAACTCAGGAAGGTCATCTCGTGCTCAGAGCGAAAGCACAGCTTCCCGCCTGGGAAGCAGAGAGTTTTTCAGTACTCAGATGTTAATGTTTTCTGTGCTTGGGCTATTTTTATCCAGCAGCAGAGACGATAGTGTAAGCACAGATTTCTTCTGCAGTTTTCATTATAACAGGTGTGGGATCCGAGGCCATTGTCCTTAAAGCACATGTATTCATGCCCTGCATCTGAACAGCTTGGAACTGAATGCTACCCTTTATCCACGATCATTCAGCTGTTTGCTTTTTGTTACTGTATCTCCAGGACATCTTTCCAGGATGAGAATGACTGAGATGTAATTCATTTCACGAGCATGAAAAATGGGAAAGTAAAATAATCTGGAGAGTCACAAAAGAATCTCTTGAGACAAACTTGGGCTAGGGCACAGAAGTCGATCCATGAAATCAAACAGTCCATAGCCCAAATCTTTAAAGGCACATGGACTTATTGAAGATCCAAGACCACATTGTCATCACCTTGGTAGTAAATGCAGAATCACAGAATGCATTGAAGTTGAAAATAGACACTGATAACTGTGAAAAAAGAAGCCCAGAGTGTGTAAGATCAATGTGGAACGGCCCACAAAACATGGTGGGAATAACTCTCTGTCAAACAGGTTGACCCCCACCCTTTGGTTACCACTGCAGTGGCTACCCAACTAGGAACAACATTGCCCTGTGCTCCTGGACTCTAAGTACAACTCTACTATAATGTCCCTGCCACTGGAGTATGATTGAGGGGAGATGTTCAAAACAGATACGAAACAGGTGAGTCCTTTTTTAAATCATTGTCCCCATTCCACTCATTCCTCTGTGCTTGTTGGATATTAACATACAGCATGCCTGATACATGGGCACACTATTCCTTGAAGGTGTTCAAAGTCGTCCAACATACCTGTTATGTGGATGCGGTACTCCTCCTTGAAAATCTTCTGGAAGAAGGGAAGCTTGAACTGCATGTGAGGGGTATGCAGACCGGGGAGGTTCACATCAACATCTCCCATGAAGTGTGGGAATTCCCAGTCCTGTCAGAAAGTCAATAGCAAAGTGTATCTGTGATCGGCTTTGCTTCATTCTTCAGCAACAAGACATCAAACTGACTTTCTCCGATCACTTGTTTTAAAATCATTTAAATTCAGCTGACTGCTGGATCTAACTACTTCACTTGAAAACTATCAGTTTGTGTACTTTGGGTATTAGTATGCATTTAAATAAAAATTAGTATGCATTTTAAAACTGACTTAATTTTTTTTTAAATTCTTATTTTTTTAAAAAAAATTGATAATTAGATGCTAGTATAGAAATGATTTATGTCTTTGTCTCTACTGTTTGTCTTCATTGTACATGGATCTTTACATTTTTAGACAAAGGAAGTATTTGATCTGAGCTTAATAACTTTGTGATATTTTATCCTACTACTTTCAAAATGATGAGCCCTATAATATTAGGTCTTATAGAAGAAGACAAAGTAACCAAGATTCACTGAAGCATTTTACTAATTCTCTGGGAACTGAGGAGAATGTTGAAGTGCCAAAGAACTCTAGTCTGCTTGCTTGCTGCTCAAGATGAATTTGAGCCAAAAGATATAGGACCCAATGTGGGAGAGCAGCAGTGAGAAGTCTGAGATTGCCATTAGTCATGTCTAGTGAGGCAAAGCTGCACAGGGTGTCCCTTTCTCAGAGGGAAGAGAAACTGATGCCCCGAGGATTCTGTTGGGAGACACACCTGGTCTCAGACTTCTAAGCAACTACTTGAAAATCATAATTAGCCCACGAGAGAAGAACACGCTAAATACAAAAAGAATATTTGAGATGGGCCCATAGACATTAAAAGACACACTTTTACTTTTAATAATTAGATGCTCACTGAAGGAACAGAACTATGCTTAGTTAATGTTTTTAACCAACTCGAATATGAAAAGATGGACAAAATATTAATCCAAGATTCCAGTCCACTAAGTCAATATGAAACTGCTAAGTTAACACCAAAGCATTTGTCACAAGTATGCTAGGCATGAAGCCTGGTCCCTTAGGAGTTTCCATGCATGTCTCCTTTTCAAGGAGAATGAGGCATGAGGAAGAGGACATAGGAGAGTGGCAGTCGCCAGATCAGTGGGCCATCTCAAGATGCTGATAGGAAACAGATACACAAAAGGAAAATTAAATGGTACATCACCATCAAGTCTGCTTGTGTGCAAATCTATCCACCTTACCTCTCCATGTTTTTCAGTCATTACTAGCAAACAGACACATAATTGAGGGGGTTCAGGAAATTATAAATAGATATTGTTAAATATATTTATAATATATTGTATAAAATTATTAGTAGAAAATGGTTTGGAGATTCTATCTGTAAACTCTTGCTGAGATTGAATACAATACAACATTTACTCCCCACATAAAGCATCTTGGTTCTCTCCATATTACATAAAAACTACTATAAAGGAAACTGACCTTGAATGCTAAAATATGACTGATAAACGCTATGACTACAGGTAAAGTGAGCAATAGAGGAGCTTTACTTACCCTCTATGAATGACAATATCATTAAAGATACTGTTTTTTTATTTCCTAGTTGCAGATACAGACTACTCCTAGGTAGTAATTGGGCCACTGTATTTGAACCAGCTTCTTAGTTAGAAGGTATTTTCTGACTTCTCCCATTTACACTTCCTTACATGAAACTAAAGTTTTCTGCTGGTGTGAAATTGCTTTTAGTTTAAAAGCAATCTCTGAGATTTCTTTTGGAAAATGGTCAGAACCTCATTCACTAAAAAAATAGTTTCTCAATTGTTTCCCAATTCATCCCAGAGCTAGGAAGATGAGTTAAGGAAGTAGGGAGTGGGAAGAAGAATAAGAAAGAGGAGGAGGCACTGTGGTGTTTACCTGGAAGATGGCTTCACTTAAACAACAAGAAGATATCAAGGAGAGGACCTGGTGCTCCTGTGTGAGGGCAGTGAGAATAGGAAAGTGGCAGGGAACTCCTACAGCTGATAAACACCTTCAGCAAAGGATACAATATTAACTAAAAAATTAGTATCCCTAATATATACAAACAATAAATGGGTTGAGAAAGAAATCAGAGGAACATCACCCTTTACAATAGCCAAAAACGACATAAAATATCTTGGGGTAATGGTAACCAAAGAAGTGAAAGAACTGTGTAACAAGAACTGGGAGTCTTGAAAGAAACAGATTAAAGAAGATACCAGAAAATAAAAAGATCTTACATGCTCTTGGATAGGTAGGGTCAACATAGTAAAAATAGCAGTCTTGCAAAATGCAATCTACAGATTCAATGCAATCCCCATCAAAATCCCAACCCAATCCTCCACAGACCTTGAAAAAACAATTCTCAACTTCTTATGGAAAAACAAAAGTCCCAGGATAGCCAAAACAACCCTGTACAATAGAGAAACTTCTGGAGGCATCACCATCCCTGACTTCAAGCTCTATTATAGAGCTATAATCATGTAAACATCTTAGTATTGGCACAAAAATAGACAGATAGACCAATAGAATTGAATTGAAAACCCTGATATTAACCAGAACACCTACGAACACCTGATTTTTTGACAAAGAACCTAAAATTATACAATGGAAAAAAGAAAGCATCTTCAGCAAATGGTGCTGGCATAACTGGATGCTGACATGTAGAAGATAGATCCATGTCTATTGCCATGCACAAAACTTAAGTCCAAATGTAACAAAGACGTCAACATAAATCCAGCCACACTGAATCTTCTAGAAGAGAAACTGGGAATTGGTACAGGAGACTGGGAATTGAACGAATTGGTACAGGAGACTGCTTCCTGAACATTACACCAGTAGCACAAAGACGTCAACATAAATCCAGCCACACTGAATCTTCTAGAAGAGAAACTGGGAATTGGTACAGGAGACTGGGAATTGAACGAATTGGTACAGGAGACTGCTTCCTGAACATTACACCAGTAGCACAGACACTGAGATTGACAATTAATAAATGGGACCTCCTGAAACTGAGAAGCCTCTGTAAGGCAAAGGACACAGTCAGTAAGACAAAAATGCAGCCAAAGACTGGGAAAAGATCTTCACCAGCCCCACATCTTACAGAGGGCTGATCTTCAGAATATACAAAGAACTCAAGAAGCTAGTCGCCAAAACACCAAATAATTCAATTAAAAAGTGGGGTACAGAACTAAATAGATAAGTCTCAATAGAGGAATCTAAAATAGCTGAAAGAAAGTGCTTAACATCCTTAGCCATCAGGGAAATACAAATCAAAACAACTCTTAGATACCATCTTACTCCTGTCAAAATGGCTAAAATAAAAAACACAAAGCACAGTTTATGCTGGAGAGGATGTGGAGAAAGGGGAACATTCCCCCACTGCTGGTGGCAGTGAAAACTGCCACTTTGAAAATCAGTATGGTGATTCCTCAGCAAATGGGAATCAGTCTACCACAAGATCCAGCAATTCCGCTATTAGGCATTTACCCAAAATAAGCACATTCATACATCAAGGACACTTGTTTAACTATGTTTATTGCAGCATTATTTGTAATAGCCAGAATCTGAAAGCAACCTAGATGTCCCTCAACTGAAGAATGGATGAAGAAAGTGTGGTACAGTTACACAATTGGAGTACTACTCAGTGGGGAAAAAACAAAGCTAAACAAAACAAAACAACAACAACAACAAAAATAAATGATGGAAACTTGAAATTTGCAGGCAAATGGAAAGAACTAGAAGAAACCATCCTGAGTGAGATAACCCAGTTACAAAAAGGCAATGATGGAATGAACTCACTCATATATGGATTTTAGACATAGAGCAAAGGATTACCAGCCTATAATCCACACCACCAGAGAAGCTAGGAAACAAAGAGGAACCTAAGAGAGATATACATGGTTCCCCAGAAAAGGGGAAAGGAACAAGCTCTCCTGAGCAAATTGGGAGCTTGGGGGGGGCAGGGAGAGGGAGTTAGGAGAAAGAGAAGGGGAGAAGATGAGAGGTGAGGAGGACATGAGGGAGCAGAAAGGTTGAGTCGGGGGAAGAATAGAAGAAAACAAGAAAGGAGATACCATAATAGAGGGAGACATTATAGGTTTAAAGAGAAATCTGGCACTAGGGAAATGTCCAGAGATCTACACAGATGACCCCAACTAACAATCTAAGCAACAGTGGAGAAGCTACCTTAAGTGCCCTTCCCTTATATTGAGATTGATAACTACCTTAAATGCCATCCTAGAGCCTTCATCCAGTAGATGATGGAAGCAGAAGCAGACACCCACAGCTTAACACTGAGTTAAACTTCTGGAATCTAGTTGCAGAGAGGGAGGAGTGATGAGCAAAGAGGTCAAAACCAGGCTGGACAGAAACTGATGACCTGAACAAGGTGGAGCTCATAGACCTCAGACTGATAGCTAGGAAATCAGCACAGGACTGACCCAGATCCCCTGAACATGGGTGTCAGTTAGGAGGCCTGGGCAATCTATAGGGCCTCTGGTAGAGGATCAGTACTTATCTCTAGTATATGAATGGATTTTGGGAGCCAATTCCCCATAGAGAGATACTCTCTTAGCCTAGACACCCAATGGAGGGTCTAGTCCCTGCTTCAAATGATGACAGACTTTGAAGATCTCCCATGGAAGGCCTCACCCTCCCAGGGAACATAAAGGAGTTAGGATAGTGGATTAGTGGAGGCCACAGGAGGAGGGAAGGAAGAGGGAACTGGGATTAACATGCAAAAGAAGCTTGTTTCTAATTAAAATTTAAAAAAGAAAAAAATGATAGTCTTTAAAAGAGAGTAAGCAGAGGGTATCACATCTCATCCATGCATCTCCCAGTTCAACCTATGGCTTCATTTGTTGTAAAAACCATGTTTTATTGTTTAAAAACTTTACTTAATCAGATTTACTGAGTCCATTTTCTCTATACTCTATTAATTTTTGTACTTCAGTTCTTACTTCCATACCTCTCCAGAATCATCATTTTGAGTCAGCATATACATCTGGTCTAACTGGGCTATCACTGGAATGGCCATGATAGTAATTGCTATACTGTTTTGAGCTCATTTTACTGGAAAATTGATATATGAAGTTTGTGGACTCACGAGTGTTTAAAACAGAGAGCAAAGGGGAGAGAGGAGGATTCTTTTCATTTCTGCAAGTTTCGACACATGATCTACAAATCATTGTTGAACCTGTCAACTTCACATCCTTCTGGGGACCGTGACATAATGCCTAGACAGCAACCTACATAGTGACAGGTACAGAGGATGAAACATGGAAATGGTCCATAAGCAGAGTTAGTGTTCTCTCATAATTCACAGTTAGGTTTATTCTGAGAGACAAGCAGAAGAAACTGATGGTTCTGTTTTACGCCAGCCATGATGAAGGAAGGATGCCATCTTTTCCTATCTGTCCCCGCCCACTGCATAGCACCTTTGACTAGGACTTTGTTCAGAGCAAAGGTCTAGGGGCCACTCAGAAAGGATACAAGGGAGGGGCACCTCTCCCAGGGGCATGATAACAGTGGATGATTGACAGCAAACACTGGGGTTGTCATATCACTGACACCATGAATGCACAGCCAGGTTTATATACACATATTATAGAGGTGTTATGAGTCACAGCTTGCTCACTTTCGGTATGATTGTCAAGGATATATTTTGACCTAAAGATATGAGGAGAATGACCAGGTATAATGTGTTCATCTAGCAAGTCCTGCATAGACAAGCTCATCCTCTTGGCATGCCATATTATAAAATGTTTATTTATTTTTGATCTTTGAGAATTGCTGTTGATATTTACGAATTGGGGCCTTGGTATTGCTCTCTGCTACTAAAGAGAGCAATAACTGCTCTATCAGTGGTGAGAGTGAGTTAGGCCCACAGTATCAAGCTGTTCTAATTCTCAACAACTTGTGATATTGTACAAAACATGGACATGTCTCGGACTCCACCTCTGTTCACAGATGAGGCATGGTTAATGTTCATTCAGATGAGCATACTATCCACATAAAATAAATAAGCAGTGCCATTACATTTATTTACTTTTCTTACTTACTATTGTCTATTTCTGTGGCAGTGAAAATTAGTTCCTGGCCCCTGGTATTCACACACTATATTTGGGCAGGATTTCAGGACAGTGTTGTGCATATAGACATCGTCTCGGGACACTGTGGAGTCATCATTTCTCAGTGCTTACTTGTTGAGCCTCAGTGTCAAGGAAGAGATCTTGGGGTCCTTAAGAGGAACTCAAGCTTGGTTTTGAGTTCCCCAGTGGTAAAATGATGAGACTTCATTTCTCAAGAAATTGAGGCTAAAAATCTAATAACAGTTATTACTTTACTCCAACAAACCAAAGCCAGAGTAAAAGAAAAGTTCTGTTTTTTGGCTTAACAATTGATCAATTGGTTTTTGAGGTAATTAAGGGAAAGAATAGACTTTACTGAAAAATTAATAACCCTTTAAATTAGAAACTATGAAAGTTTCTTCATACTATTTGACAATTATATATATATATATATATAGTGAGTTTTGATCATTATCTCCCTCACCCTCTCCTCCCAACGAAGCCCTTCTTTCCAATAAATCCTCCTCCTACATCAATAGCTGTTTTTGTAACCCAGTAAGTTTAATTATAGTTGCTTATGTAAACACAATGGAGAAGGTATGTGTCAGAGCATGGGTATCAGTGACTACATCATTAAGGAAAATGACACCCTTTCCCCAGAACCATTACCTGCACATAGAGCTGCAGGGAGGAATGGGGTTTCATATGTCCCTTGCCCATGTATGACAGAATGTTGACAGTCCCAATCTTGTGTGGGTCATGGGCAGTAATTGGAATAGTGCAGTGAGTTCACGAGTGCAGCAGACATGTCATGTTAGCATTGACAACAGATTCTAAAATGTTACTATAAAATGCCAGTGCATTCTCCATTTAATAGTTTACTTATCTTCTTTTCACTGCATTAGGTTATCAAGCTCCAAATGATTTCAAAGTCAACTTTACAGACACACTCTCTTCATGCACATTTCAGTACTGAATTCAAAATGTGACTATCAGAACATCACTTCATCAAAAAAAAATAAATAAATAAATAAAATCCCAGCTTGCAAAGTGTTCTTAGCTTTTTTCAGCTTACTAGTGTCTTAGCAACAGGATTGCAGATGACAGTGAGCAGAGGTGGCCTGAAGAATTGTTGTTATGCTTTGGGTGATATTTCTGTTTCTTACTAAGAAACTAGAGAGCCTGATTTTTCCCCAGCAATCCTTTGCTTCTGATTGGCAGAGTTGCCATAGTAGCACTAGGCTGAATTAATTCTCGGAAGCCTTGTTATACAACAGGCTCTGCTTATTTACTTGCCATGCCCGTCGTCCCCACTGAAATGTAAGCTCCGGGGAGCTCGGATGACTTTCCCCATCTTGATAACTGCTATGTCCTCAACACAAGAACTCAGCTCAGCATACAGGAAGAACTCAAGTGTGTGTTAGAAGGATGAATGATGCGCTCTGAAAGCTAAACAGGCACAAAAATCCCTTTTGTGTTTCCCAGAAGCAGCACGGGATGGATTTAGGGCAAAGAAACAACACAGTGAACATGACTCACCACTCTCACATTAGTTACTGGGAAAAAACTGGCTGTTATGTTTTGTCTTTATTATCCGGGTATAGAGAGACCACGGAAATATTAACACAAAACTTAAGCTATTTGCAAAGGCCACAAAGAAAAGAAGAAAGTAGATAATTAAAGAGAGGGATGCGGTAGCTAATCTTACTTGTCAGCTTGATCATCCGGAATCACCTAAAACTCAAGCAGCTGGCCACACCTGTGAGGGAGTTTCCTTGATTGAATATTTGAGCTGGGATGATCCACCTTGAATCTGGGTCACAATGTCTGGTGGCAGCCCACATAAAGGGACATGAGAGAAGGAAGCTTTTGTTTCTTGCCTGCATGTCCTCAGTCTGACCAGTAAGTCCATCTATCCTTCTGCTAAGTCATTTCTTCACTGGTATCATAGCCTGTTTCTTCAGGGTTCCAATGTAGACTAAAGACCAGTTGAGACATCCAACTCATGGTGGTTTGAAAGAAAATGATCCCAAAGAGAGTGGCACTATTAGGAGTGGCCTTGTTAGAGTAGGTATGGTCTTGTTGCAGGAAGTATGTGGTTGTGGGAGTGGGCTTTGAGGTCTCATATATGCTCAAGCTGTGCCCAGTGAGACAGTCCACTTCCAGTTGTCTGTGAGTCAAGATGTAAGAATTCTTAGCTCCTTCTCTAGTACCACATTGCCTCCATGCTGCCATGCTTCCCACCAAGATAATAGTGGACTGAACCTTTGAACTGTAAGCAAGCTACAACAATTAATTGTTCACCACATTGCCTCCATGCTGCCATGCTTCCCACCAAGATAGTGGACTGAACCTTTGAACTGTAAGCAAGCTACAACAATTAATTGTTTTCCTTTATAAGAGTTGCCATGGTCATGGTGTCTCTTCACAGCAATAGAAACCCTAACTAACACAACTTCATGGACTGAACGACTATTGAATTCTTGGACTTTCTGTCAGGAGACAGCCATTGATGGACTAGTCTGACCACTACCTGTAAGCCACTCTCATAACCCACCTTTATTAA